GGTTATGAGGATTTCTGGTGGCCCAATGAATACCTGGAGTAAAAGATTCCTGCTCTGGAGTACAGTGTCAGTCTCCAAGCAGGCAAGGTAGATTTCAGGGCTCTTAAGATGACAGAAAGCTGGGGCTTCATTAAATTCATAGAACTGCACAGTTCTGGAACTGCTTGCTAATGTATGGCTAATAAATATCTGTATATGTGGCAGAATTTGGTTACAGAATTGCTTTCCTTATGACTTAGTAACACAGTTAAGTAACTAATTCTCATCCACCTCAACTTCTCAATGGCTACTGTTATTTTCCAGAAAGAACCTAAGGATTGTGTATGACCAAATTGACTTAGATCAGTTGCAATACATAGGCCCTACTTTCAAGGATCTCATACAGGAGTTTCTACAGACCTAACTGCCACTCACCAGAGGCTACCAGAGTTCCAAGAGAATGACCAATCAATAGCCAGCATCCCCATTAAGCCAAAGTTGATAAAAGATAAGATACTAATCTATACAGGGGTAGGCAAAAGTAGGTTTACAGTTGTTCGTATAGAAAACACACACAGAGGTTATGATTATTGCTGCAGCTTTATAAAGAATGTCACAATGCCACTGTAAACCTACTTTTGCTTACCCCTGTATATATTAGTCTACTAAGCTTTCTTTAGTTAATAACCAAATGAAGATCAGTTACTCAGCTTTTCTTCTATGGGTCAGGAACATACATCTTGGAAGAATCTACATATTTCCACATTCCCTAAGAGATAACTCTTCTTTTAAAAGTTTGTGCAGAGGGCAATCTTACAGTTTGTTGTGGGCCCAACAGTCAAAGTATCAGAGAGGATTTCTTGATGTCTCCCCTAAACCTTGCTATTGACAGGTAAATAATTCTGAATGGTGAAGGTAAACATAGAAGAAGGTCCTGTGTCTTAATGTTCAATTCTGGGTTTCTCTGTCTTCAAATCTTTTGGTCTTCAGTTGGATTTTTTTTGTTTTTCCCCCCAACTTTAAAGTTGGGTCACTATAGTCCCATAATGGGGGCTCTCCTGGAAGGTGCCCTTTGGGATAAATTCCTTGTTGGTATAACTGTTAATAAGGAAACACAAGCCAAAATGTAACCTTAATTGTTACATTTACACCAAAAATGCAACCTTAATTGTAAAAGTGTAAGTAACGGTCCTTTGGCTGACTCGCCCTCTGGCTGAGATTGGCGAGGCATCATGATCCTGCCACAAGCTGTAATTTACAGAACTATAAACCTCCCTTCCCTCCATTTCCTCCTCCTTACCCATCCCATCAACCACCTCAGCTTTTAAATATAAAGCTGTCCTTTTTGGTCATAGTTCATGGCTAGTTATAGCAAGGTTCTCTTGATACTCAGCCAGACTTTGATGATTTTTTTAAAGGTACCAGTTAAGAATACTGTAAGTTAAGAATAAATTTCTCCACAAGTTTAGAGAAAAATTCTCTTGCTCCCTTTCCCATAAGTACTAAAATAAAGTTAAGAATCCCTTTATTTCCCATTCCCACAAAATTATATTTTGCTTCAAATAGCTCTTCTTCCTAAAGTTTGAAATCAGTAGCCAATATTTACTTGTCGTGCATTTTTCTGAACGCATGTTCTATGGTGGCTATCACACAGCATGAATTTTAAAAAAGATTGAGACATATATGTATATACCTTCAAGGAGCTGAGGAGACTAGTAGAGGAGGAAGAATACCACCCAATGACACATGTGATGAGCGATTATGGGTAATACAATGAAGCTTCTCCAACCGTGGGACATGTAGGTTGCTCCCTAGAATGAAGCATAGCATGATCATTAAGGTCACTTGCTTCGGAAACAAACTATTTGTCTTCCAATCTACCCCCATCACTTATTAACTGTGTAGTATTAGGCAAGTTACATATAATCTCTCTGAACCTCTGTCTCCACATCTGTAAAATGGAGCTAATGTTTGTTCCTCTTTCAGAGTGACTATAAAGCACTTAGCACAGTGTCTGGCACATAGTAAGCTCTTAACAAATGTCCACTATTGTTCATTGCTCATTTCTCAAGGCTCAAATCAAATGTGAAGACTTTTATATTCCATCCAAATTCTACTCTCCAATTTTAATTTTTGTACATTTAAAAAAATTAAATTAAAATTTTTAATTTAAATTAGAATTAATATGCCTATAGAACACATACAACAGAATTATATCAATTCTTAATTTAAAAAATTATTTTTTAATTACAAATACCTCAGCCTTCTAAGTGGTATGGATTCCAAGAACAATCCAGTAGAATAATGAGAATATGAATTTAAATTGGTGAAGCTGAGAAAGAGGTTAACTGTTCTACACAAAAAAAGACTGGATGCTTAGTTATAGTAGATTGAGAGTTTATTTTCTCTCCCAAGATTCTGCTAAAATGATAATAAGTGGATTTTAAAGTTACAGAACAAACATAAATAAAACAGATCACAAGGGGCCATACTGCTGATGAGAGAATTAAACACATTTTTGGAAGACATAAATCAAAGAGCGGTTACTGCTCAATCGCCAGTGTGGTTCAGCAGTTGAGCATTGGCCTATGATCCAGGAGATCGAGGTTCGATTCCTGGTCAGGGCACATGCCTGGGTTACAGGCTCTATCCTCAGTGGGGGGCCTGCAGGAGGCAACAAATCAATGACTCTCTCATTATTGATGTTTCTATTTCTTTCTCTCCCTCTCCCTTCCTCTCTCTGAAATCAATAAAATATTTAAAAAAAAAAAAAAAAAAAAAAAAAAAACCCAAAAAACAAAAAAAANCTCCCTCTCCCTTCCTCTCTCTGAAATCAATAAAATATTTAAAAAAAAAAAAAAAAAAAAAGAGTAGTTACTGACTCAGCTGCAGTCTAAAGTGCCTACAAAAGGGGCACCTGATTAAAAACAAGCCAAAGCTCTGAGAGGCTCTAAAGGACTTGGAGGCACCTAGTACCACAGAGGGTAAAAAGAATAGTGAAAACTAGGGGTATGGGCCCAATGTGTGAAAGTGGAATTACTATGTAGATAGACCACTAGCTCTTGGCAGTCTCACCTGCTCAGAGGAGAACAAGGCCAAGGACCCAATGTGGATGTCACTCCAACTGCCAAGTATATCAATCCTAATTATGTACTTGGAGACCAGAGAAACGACCTCCTGATGGTTCCATGGACCCTCACTGTAAGCCAGACGTTGGCCAGAGCTTCATTTATTATCTCCTCTCATGTGTCCTCTCAAGGAGGCCATAATGATGCTTTGTGTCTCTGGATATCAATGTCAACTTGGACCCTAGGTCCAATAAGACCTCACAATATCTGGCTATTACTTTCCCCCAATATACTCGAGTGAATGGTGGTAGATCTCTGGGGAAAGACTAGGGTAAGCATTACAGAGTATACTTGCCATAATGGGGAGTGTGTGTGTGTGTGTGTGTATGTGTGTAAAGAGCTAGGTTGTAACTCTAGAAAAAAAAAAGATGATGAAAGAAAATACTACATTACTTGACTCTAAAAAACAATATTGACAGTTATAACATGTAAAACAAAAAGTTATCATTTCAGCCAAAAGAAAGTGATTTAAGTATAATAATAGAGCGAAGGAGTGGATGTAGGGCCAGACTATATTGCCTATGAGCTGCCACTTCAGTTGTCCCTTCAGCAGGCCATCCCAATACCCAGTCAACACTCTTGTGAGCTGGCCGGTAATGAGGAGGGCAAGCCACTTCTGCACATTCACAAGGTTCAGAACAGCCTGGAGTGAAAATCTATAGGAGCATCTCCCAGATGTCCTCATCTCATGTGTCAGGGGCTCAGATTTGCCCAACCAGAGTCACGACTACCTTGGTTGTGATTCCAACCATCTTTGAAATTTAGCCAGTTGGAACTTCAAATTCCAAACTTGATCTTCAGCTTTTTCTGTGAGCCTACCGCATGAGAGCTTCTTTGAAAGCTACCAAAAAGATGCTCTGGTTTTCACACTTACTTTTCAATTTGTTGATTGCCCTTAGCTTTTCATTATCAATCTGTTGTTTCACTGCAATTTAGGAAAAAACCACACCCAATTCCACTATTATTGTATTTCTCATCCTCCCCACCCTGCCACACACACACATTTCAAGTGCCTGAATCGTCTTATTGACCATTGCATTTTCCTCTATTGATACATCCTGGCTCACTACCCACGAACATTTTATCAATCAGCCTGCCACCTTGTTCCAGAGCTGTCTGTACGCTAACTGCCACCAGGAATTGTTTCCTCATTACCAGTCAGGGAGTGAATGAGTGACCCAGCTCCTACACCCACCTTACCATCTGCTTTCTTGGGCCACTTCTGACACTAATGGTTACAGATTGAATTCCCTAGAAAATAGGTATGAGCTTGACTGAGGAATGAAAAGTTTATGGGAAAGAACACTTGTAAAAGAAAGGGGATGGACACAAGATTAGGCAGGATAAGTGTCAGACCACAATGTAGAAAAACCCTGGCAATCCAAAGGGAGCCCTGGAGTGGAGCTGTGAGAGGAGTCCTGCAGATGGCCAGGTCCTTTTACCACCTCTTTATGTGGTCATAAGCTAGGGTTGCCAGAGGAGAGTATGACCTCAGCCATCCTGCTTTGCTCAGTCATTCACTGTCAGCTTCCCCAAGAAAAGCATAACCTTGACTTGAATGCTGATCTAGACCCTGAAGGAGTTAATTGCAGTGAGTCTTTTCTTAAAAGATCTGAGCCATGCTTTGTATCTGCCACTATCTGGTTCTTATCCTGAGCTTATATTCTGGTGAGGGAAATACATGTAAGTATATGATTACAATTCAGTATGGTATGCAAAGTGTACAGGGTGAACACATACGAGCTAAGTGGAGGAGTGAATGGGCGGGACAGAGTGGGAATGAAGACTCACCCTAGGGTCTCGATCATTTTCTTGTCCCCCTAACTTAGCACGTCAACTTGAAAGATTAATATAAGGCTCCTCTCCTCTGCCACTGTGGTGTGTGTGGTTGACATGTCTTCTCACAAGACTTTTAGGATCAAGAGATTCCTGGCAACAAAACAGAAGCAGAATCAGCCCATTCCCCAATGGATTCAGATGAAAGCTGGTAACACAGTGAGGTACAACTCCAAGAGGACACAGTAGAGAAGAACGAAGCTGGGTCTATAAAAAATTGCCCATGAGATGGCTCACATATTTATGCCTGTACCTTACCATATCACCTTACCATATCACTACCAGCTGGACAGCCGGGTGAGTCTTATTGGGAAATCACTGGAAGAGTGATTTTTCTCTGTTAATGTTTTTCTGCTCTAGTGTGTTGGCTCAGTAATAAATATGTGAGATCTTTTTTAAAAAAGAATAATTGAAATAAAACCATACTGTGTTTAATATGTGTATTCACAGAGGGTCAATTTATCTTTTAATCCCTAAATGAAAATAACTAAAGCAATGCTTGGCATCCTCCAACCACAAATGGTGAAGTATTTAGCCAAAGTGGAAACTAATTTGATTTTTCATGGAGTTATAACAGAAAGCCAAGAAAATGTCTTAGTGCAGAATGCTTTATGCTTATTTTTAAGAATTTAATAAATTTTCTAACATCATCAAAAAAGTTTTTATCAAGAGACTGTGCTTAGCATGGCCTTTGTAACTGAAAGAAACTTTACTGTGGAATGTATTTGAAATTTGGATAGTCAATAAATCACTCTAGATTTACCATCATCTAGAAAAATTCAATCTATTCCTTTAGAATGCAACTGCTAGAGTCATTATAAACTTACTTGATCTTTTTTCCTTCACTGGAATTTTTAAATTACAGGAGAACATATTTCTTTTTTGAAGAAAAAGAAATGGTAACATATCATCTCTTCTTTAGAGGAAGAATATCAGTTTTGTGATTTCCCAGATGCTTTAATGGATATCTCCATTTCAATCTGGGCAACTTGCTTCTAACTTATATGTGTAGAATCATTAGAGTAAGCATTCAAATATATTTACTGCATAGACCACAATTCTCTACAATAATTTGTTTTATCATTGAATAATTACAATATAGCACACCAAGAAGGAGATAAGTGAACCCCACTGTTTGCCCTGTGTTACTTAGCTGCTACAGAGATCCCTTTGAATTGAATGATTAAAGGACCTGGGAGGATTTCCCCTAGAGTTTTTACAAAGAACTCATTCTCCTTTTGGTTCTCCAGCTTTGTTTTCCCTCCTTATTTATTGAACAGAATATACACATATATTCTATAAAAAATCATCTTTGGCTATAAATGTATATTCCTTAAAGATTATAAACAAATCTATCAAGTAGTAATGGGTGGATAATGGATTTCAGGATCTAAAAAGTATTTGATACTCACATGAGTTCACTAAGAAAAACTACTCACAAATGAACAATTCAGGCCTTCCTACAATAACAATATTCTAAGTCAACCAGAAGCCAGGATACTATGGCTAGTTTCCTCTGAGGAACCTGTAAATCATGATATTCAAAAGAATTGCCTCTACAAGTACTTATCCAATGCAATGGTAACCATCTATTATTTTCTTAATCATATATTCAATTATAGGATTCCTTGACCTTGAAGATTCTACTTGACTTTAATAGTGTAGCCTTTTCAAAATGATGTGGAAGAAAACTACGGAGATTCTACAGATTCACATGTCCATCTGGGTTTGATTTAGTTAATCTATCAAGTTCTTGTGTGCAATTTTCAGACACATGGTTTTGCTTCCCTTCTTTTCAAGTAAGTTCTGTTTACTTAGGCAGATGTTGCAAATTAGCTCTTAAAATATTGCAAATGAAGTAAAGAAATCCTTTATAGCAGATCTGAGTCTAATGTGAATTTCATTACTGATTCATACGACAGACCAGTCCCAGAATTCTATGCACTTTTCCCCTCCACTTTCTTGTTCCTTGGCATGTGGTGTATGCCACTGAACCTTTTGGGCATCCCAGATATCTGGAAAATGTTGACCTCAGATACATTCTTGGCCACAGAAAATGTGGGTACCCTTCACCTTTTCCCAGTTTCTTCAGTTGCTCCATAAACCAAAACCCTACTGTGAAAGAAGTACTATTAAAGCTTCCACTTAAACTTTGAGTTGTAAGAATTCTATTAATTAAGCTCATGGGTCAGTTCATAGGCTTCAACATGAGGCAACATTAGTTTGTAGCACTTTATCCAGTTAACACATCTTAAAATGCTGCTTTGAGAATACACGTTATAAATAAAAAATATTTGTAATCATTATGCAGAGAATACTGAGGATTTTCCTTTTAATCAGTCCCATCAAAAAAGAATGAACTATAAACACTGTTTAAATAGGATAAATGGTCTCTCAGTAAGCTCATCTGTTTTCCACCATCTACACTTTGCTGATGACTTTTAAATCTATGCCTCCAACATACATTTCTCCAAAGTAGTCCAGCCTCTTATTTTCAACTATCTGCATTGTGACTTCACCTGGATATGACTAGAACTCATAATAATCACTCCAAAAGGAATCACACTATCAATTATAATATGTCAACAAAGGCGGGAAGCTTACACTTGATACTCAAAATGGGGCTGAGCATCAACAGTGTTGGTGTTATCATGGAGCTTCTTAGAAATGCAGAATCTCAGGCCCTATACCGGACATACTGAATCATGATCTACATTCTAACATGATCCTTAGGTTATTTTTCAACATCTTACAATTTGAGAAGTCTAGAATTACACTGTATGGATTTTAGGGTCTGACAATTTTCAGTTTGTTTTCTAGCTCTATGATGTATTGACTAGGAGACGATGAGCGAATGAGTTAGCCTCTCTGACTCTCAACTTCCTCATCTGCAAAATAATGAGACTTATTTGAAAAGTTTGTTACAAACATATCCCTCAAAAAGTGTTTTTGTGTGTAAGAGAGAGGGAGAAAAATAAGTTAGTTCTATAGACTATTAGGTTGAATAGTCAAATGTTGACAATTTCATACAATTCAACCTGCAAAGTAAGCTCTTAGTAAACTACAGGTAATTATCTGTATTAGTATCCTACAGCTGCTGTAACAAACTACTGCAAGCCTAGTGGCTTAAAACAATAGTAATTTATCTCTCACAGTTTTGGAGGCCAAAAGTCTGAACACAAAGTTTTGTTAGGGTTGGTTCCTTCTGGAAGTTCTGAGGGAGAACACGTTCCATCCCTCTGCCTGTATTCTGATGATTGCCCACAGTCCTTGCCTTTTTTTTTTTTTTTTTTTTTTTNAAGACAGGTCTGCAGGCAGATAATTGCAACACAGGGTGTGTGCACCCCAGGGAAAATGCAGGCGGAGGAAGGGATTAGCTCTATAGGGAAGTATTTCAATAATGACTTTCAATTATAGGACACATAATATGATTATATGCTTTCGTAACAGTGTACTACTCTCACAATTATTTATTCCTCCACACTGAACAAATATAAGTATTATATGCATCCTTTCCATCACCAATTCTCTTTATTCCTAATGAAAACAGTGGTGAGTAGTTTATAAGAATTAAGAATTTTTTGTGACCTTCCCATCATTTTTCTTATCAGAATTTTAAAATTATTTATTGCCTTTTTTTTTTTTTGGCTTGTAGATGAATCACTCCAACCTCTCTATCATCACATAGCCTTTGCCTCTCTCTGTCTGTGTGTGTCTTCCCCTCTTCTTATAAGGATATCTATCACTGGATTTAGGGCCCACCCTAAATCCAGTATAACCTTGTCTCAAGATTCTATTTTCAAATGAGATTCTGAGATTCTGGGTGAACATAAATTTTGGGAGGGGGCACTATTCAACCCTGCTACAGGACCCTTCCTCCCTCCCTTTCAGTGACACTGATGACACCAATCTCAAAAACTTGGAGCTATTTTTGACTCCTCACTCTCTCATATTTCTTATATTTGGTTGTGCCCAGGCCTAGTGATTTCCCTCTTCAAAATGTTCCTCAGCTTTTAGTAATATGAGGGCAAGGCTTGTGTTTTAAAGTTAAGCAAAAATAAAGCAGGCCATAACAGAGCCAAGGCTGAAAAGGCTCCACCTTTAGGTGATAATGACTCCAACAGCACAGGGTTTGGTAGGTTTACAACATCTTGTTACCAAAAGGCACCCTGCCCGCCCAGCATGGCTCAGTGATTGAGCACTGACCTCTGACTCAGGAGATGATGGTTTATTCCTGGTCAGGGCACATGCCCAGGCTCGATCCCCAGCAGGGAGCATGCAGGGGGCAGCCGATCGATGACTCTCTCTCCTTCTTCTCCCTCTTCCTCTCTCTGAAATCAATAAAAACATATTTTTTTAAAAAAGGTACCCTTTCTCTGGGCCAATGCATCCCTGCTTTCGATACCCATCTACTTCCTATAAAGGGAATTGCTGTATCTAATACTTCCTACGAAGAAGAAGGAAGCATAACACTATCTAGGCTTGTTTGGATTCCAGGGCACCATATGCCACACTGCTTTGTTCTATTAACAAAGTGACTCTGAATGCTGCCACATTTGAGGAAGAGCAAGAGCAAGACAGGGCTCTGCAGCAGGTCTAGAGTGCAGCACTCCACTGCTTGGACCATGTGATTGGCAAATATTACGATGATGGAGATATCAGTGATGAAAAAGAGATGCAGGGTAGAGTTTACGACAAGCCTAGGTGGGAGACTGTCAGTGCGGACTCCAGGGTTCTGAAGCAATACCATTCTATCTGCAACAGAATTTCATACACATCTTTTGAAAAATGCTCTTAAGAGTGCTACTGAGCGACAGTAGAGAGCAGGAATGGTCATGCATGAAACATCAAAGTGATTATGAATCTCAACTGTACAACATGAGCTGGAGTCTACTGAACCTGCCAAACTGCGAAGTCCTGAGGGCTCAACAGCAAGCCATCATAAAATGGAAATATACATCTAAGCTTGAGCATCTGCAGGGCCAGACCCCCATGTCAGCCACACAGTTTCACCAGCATCTAACCCCCAGGTCATACCTCTGGTTGTATCAGGGAAGAGAGAGGGAGTCCTGTACAACCAAGTGAAAGAGGAAAAAAATGCCCAAGCTTAGTTTACAGATGAATTGGTTCAGCAAGGGCAAGGCAAAAGTTGTATGGCAGCTGTGTTGATTCCCACTCAAGAGTCACCT